TTGTGGAGTCTCCTTCTCTGGAGACATTCAAAACCCGCCTGGACACGTTCCTGTGTAACCTTATCTAGGTGTTCCTGCTCCGGCAGGGGGATTGGACTAGATGATCTTTTGAGGTCCCTTCCAATCTCTAACATACTGTGATACTGTGATACTGTGAGGAGCCCCTTGGAGTGATACAGGCTGGGGGCTTTATCAGTTGGGGAGCAGCTCTGCAGAAAAGGCACTGGGGGTTCTTGGCAGACAGAGAGCAAGGTGAAGGTAAGACAGCAGGCTGGCAAAGAGGCTGGCAAAAGGCTTGGGGTTTAAAAGGGTAAAAAACTATTTAGTCAGAAACTATGATGAAGAATATATGAAGATAGGAGGATTGCAAACCAAACACATCAAGTCTAGTAATGCCAAAATCCTACCATTCAATAACAGTACTTACACAATGTTAGAAAAATTATAATCCTATTATTTCCATAGAGCTGGCCAAAACTCTGAATGTTCAGCTACTGACCTAAATGCCAGGTGCCAATACTCTGACATGTGGATTGTTCATATATTTTCAAAAAGTAAATCTGGCTTTGGTCCTTAATAAATGAAAATGCACATGTTAGGAAAAGTCACTAGATGGCATCACAGTCACTCACAGCTCACCAGCATATGATATGATGAAAAATAACACTAGAAGGACAAACAACTGAGCTCACTGAAATTATAATGCAACTGGCATATAAAAATGATTAAGAACAGGTTATATAAGAATGGGGGAATACAAACATAACTAGATGGAACTTCCTTGCCTGCATCAGCACTGAGACTCCCAGCAAAGTCAACGGTTGTAGTATGCATAGTATGCAGTATGTAGTATGTAGTATGCAAATGACATTCTTGAAGATAATAGTTCTGTGGTTTAGTTTTAGATTGATGCTTAGTGAGAAATGGAAATAGAAAATCTCTATACTGTATCTGAAGAGAAAATTCACAAGTGTTCTACAGCATATAAGCTATCAGCCAAAATTATCCACAAAGCACTATCATCCCTCCATTTTTGCAACACTTCTTAGGCAAAAAAACCCCAGCTAAAATAATAGATTGCACAAAAAAAAGTAAATACTTTCACATAATTTTGAGAACATTAACAATTCAGAAGTATAGAAAGAAAATCTGAAAATACAGAAAAAAGAATTTTAATGTCCATTTTTAAGGAAGGAAGGAAACATGACTCATCAAAACTCAGCCTGTTAACAATTGTATTTGCTTTTTACTCTTGGGTCAGTGAGGAGGGAAGCTAGCATCCACTGTTCTACCAATTTCTTTTTCTTTAAATGCACTGTTGCAAATAATTACTGAGCAATACCCTGTAAATCCACTTCCAGCACACACTCACACATGAAAATGAATCAAATTTTTGGCAATTAGAAGATGATGTATTACATCTCATGGTTACTAGTGCTACCACTTAATATGACACAAACACAAAAACCAAACAGCTGTTTCTGAACCTGCCTGAATGTTATCACTTCAGTCTACAGAGATTAAGACTACTGAAAAACATCTCGATTAACATGTCTTTGTCGGTCTCCTTAGTAACAATAGGTCCTACAAGATGAATACCATCTTCTTTCGTATCAGAATCACTACTTGCCTAGTGAGTTCTTTATTTAATAGAGACCAATTGATTTCTTACATCTACCTAATAATAAAAGTACATCTTAACTAGGAAATCTCTGATATTTATCTAGTGCTTTTCTACCTTATTTACAACCTAAAGATACAAGTAGAGGCTAAAAGAATTAGGTTTGTTCAGCCTTGAGATTGGGGTGGGAGGATGTGGGGGGTGTGGGTGGATCTTCACACTGCCTATAACACGAAAGACTCAAGATGGAGCCTGGCTCTTCCCAGAGGCGCACACTGGAAGTGTAAGAGGCAATTATGAAAAGTTTAAAATTCAGATTTGATATTTGAAAAAGATACTGTGAGACAAGTCAAACACTGGGCAGGCTGCCCAGAGACACTGTGGTATCTCAGCGATATTAGTAGTTCTCGGAGATATTAAAAAATTGACTGGACATGGCACTGAGTAGTCTGCTCTAACTGGACCTGCAGGCAAGCAGCAGCTGGTCTGGTTGTGGAGATCTTGTCCAACTTGCATGAATCTGTGATTCTAAAACCAACCTAACCCTATAAATATGTTTCTAAGTGCAGAACAATCATGTCAGCATAGGTTTGGGACCCAAATACATGGAAATCCCTACTCTTTGTCATCATATTTAATTGCTTTTTACCTTTAACCTACAGTATGAAACAGTAATCTTGCATGTGAATGTGTTTAAACACAAAAATTTTTGTAAGTTGCAAAAGTGTTTCTTACTTTCATTCTGAATGTATGCTGTCCAATTAAACTCCGTGCCATTAAAGTATGGAGCTAGGTAATTTTCAAAAGATGTTGAATTGTCTGATGGCCAAAACAAGCATTTATTCTTCAAATTGCCCATGAACAACTGCAACCCTATTAGTGCAAATACACTCAGGCAAAACACAGTCAAAATCATTACATCTGAGAGCTTCTTCACAGACTGAATTAAGGCTCCAACAATAGTCTTCAAGCCTGCAGAGAGAAGCAGATTTTTGTTATAATATTAAATATTTACCTACACTAGAATGTGATGTGACCTACTCTAACATACAAATATCATGCACAGCTTCATAAAAAGTCTTAAAATATTTTCCAAAGGGAAAAAAAGTACCAACGAGTCTTATGGTTCCTGACAAATTAATTTGAAAATATTAAGGTGAATGAATGTGACACATTCCAAAACACTTGCTCTTCAAATGAAGAGGTAACTTTTTATTCATGTTTTCTATACATGTAAACTACATGTAAAGAAAATTCGTCCTTTTATTTTCTTCTTGATGCCTCTTGCTCCAAACCTTTGCCAGTGCTCTATTCCAATACATTGGTTCTACAACAGCAAACAAAAACAGAACACAATTGCACTGTGGCAGAAATTCTTATGACTGCATTCTTTTGCATCCTCTTCAACTGGAGGTCTGGTTTGGTGAAGACAGGCATCTTAAGGTAATAAATACACCATGCAGTTCCCATGCTACTCTTTATTATCTTGGTCTTCTTTCAGGAATTCAACTTCTACAACAGACTGAAATTTTCAATCCCAAATGTCTTCGATAAATAGGAACATTAAAATTAGTGAGAGAAAAATAAAAAGAATTCATTTTGATACTTAAGGTGGGAGAGAAAATTCAACATCATGAAATGGAAGTATGCACAGGCTATGTGATTCAGTTTCTCATGCAAGAATGTATTAAACTCTGAGGCTGAGCATTTTAGAGAATTAGAAAAGGGAATCAAATTGCACTTAAGACTAAAATCTGGATGCTTCTGTAAAAAATAGGAGTTCAGCTCCTCTAGAATTACATTCAGCCTCAGTGTTTAACTTAGCTCTCACCTGGGATGACTGATATTGTTTTCAAAGCTCGGAGCACTCTGAATGTTCTCAAGGCTGAGACACTGCCCAGGTCCACAAACTCTGTCACATACCTGTAGTGAGGGATTCCACACACAAACACAATGACAGAATTAAACAGAGGTGATGTAGAGTGCCTACTATTTTACACATTTACTTCTTACCTGGGATTACAGAAATAGTTTTCAAAGCTCTCAATACTCTGAAAGCTCGAAGAGCTGAAACATTGCCTAGGGTTTACAAATTCTGTTATATACCTGTAGGATTAAATCACAGTTATTCAGAATTGAGGTAAAGCGTACACTGCTTACCTGGACCTGTAATCCAGACTGGAATTTTTGAAAGGGAAACTTTAAATGAAAGACTTGTCCTTCATATATTCCTGTTTCAACTAAGTTTTCCCTAAGAAACAGACACTTAAGTGAATCTCCATTGAATGTAATTTAAAAATGATTTCCCTGTTTATATTGTTTAAATACTCTTTAAAATAAATTGTTCACTGGTAACATCTCTTTTGTGCTGTGGGACCGTCCACTAATTCTGCTGTGTGCTACATTAGTGTAAAATATTAAAATGGAAAAAGTTGAAACACAATTCAAGTAGAGTTCATTTTACATGAGGTAAAATAACCTAAACAAATTATTACAGGTTCAAAAAAAAAAAAATCTATCTAATATTTCACTTTTAAAAAACTATATACTTACGCAAAGGAAATGACAACAAAATCAAGCCAGTTCCAGGGGTCACGAAGGCAAGTAAAATCATTTATACAGAAGCCTCTTGCAAGGACTTTTACCAGAAACTCAAAAGTATAAATTCCAGTGAAAGCGTATCTATGAGAAAACATCCAAGCAAAAGTATAAGATTGTCCTTCAGTGATACAACATCACAGGCATAATGGAAAACCACCAGGACCCAGTTACTGTCACACATACTGTAACAGCAATTACAAACTCACATAAACTATGGCTGTTTTCCCACCGCTGCTCTGCAAGATAATTGGATCGATTACTTATTTTATCTGATATATTTTTCCAGTTCCTGGCATATGAGATTTTGTAATTTCAGCACAAATAATAATAATAATAATAATAATCACAAAACTATTTTTGCTCAAATAAAAATTTCAGCATGGTTGCCATGTCAGAAAAAAAATCCATAGGTAAATGAAACCTAGGGTTTTCTAGCACTTGATGGCTGCCCAGGTAGACTTGAGAACGTCAAATAATAATCCTTAGCAGAGCTATTTTCTTTAGTAAGGGTGTATGTGTCCCCATTTTAAATTTTGTTATACAAAATGAAGATGCTTCAAAGGGCCTTAGAAAGCATCTTCCTCAATGAAAAGAAGTAGTTTCAGGCAGAATGGCTTTTTTATTCTTTTTTTACATAAATTCTGAAGGAACAGCTCAAGAAGGAGAACTCATGAAAGCATTAGTTGTACAAACACTCTGAACAAGAGTATTAATCAGAATATTGTTCAGAGGAAAAGATTAACAATATCACAGTTTGTTTTCTTCCTTGACCTTGAAGGTCTATGCTGCATTGAGTAGCAGCTAGGATCAAACTCGGGCTATAAAAAGGAGAATACTGGTATAACACATGAGGGTAAATAAAACTATATGGTCTAGCTCTCAACTTCTCATTTTTAAACCACTTAAAAAATTACAAGCTCATTTAAGTATACTTACTCTACATTCTTTGTCCACGCTGGAAGGTTACTCCATGTCATAAAAACACAGTTTGTCAAAATAGTGAGCATAATGAGCATGCTGAACAATGTTGACTACAGTTAAGGAACATACTCTTAATCATCAATAATGCAAATAATGGTGCAAATAATGATGCAAATAATGTCATCAACAATGCAAAGATGTTTCACAATGATGGCTATACCAGTAACTCTGTAACCTAGGCACACATGCTGTGTATCTCCCTCTGAATTTAACCAGAAAGCTAAAGAGACAAATCTTAGTTCTAATTCATTTTGAAAGAAAGAATTAAATGCAGGTACACATTTAAACACTAAACAAAAACCCCCATTGTTACTAAGATTAAAAAAGACAGTAATAATTTTTAACAAACCACTTGAAAAGGATATGAATGAACCAAAATCATAATAGCTATTCTTCTAACAATATTGAAAGGAGATAAAAGGTACAAGGCAGGTGTGGCACTGAACCTGAAGATTGTCTTCCCTTTATTCAATACTATAAAAGTCTTATAAAAAGCCCAACCGATCAAACAAACAAAACAAACAGAAAAAAGAGAGGAGACAGAAAATAGGAAATTAAGGACACCTGTTAGCAACTTTGCTATAGAGGCTGCACTTACACATCAGTAGAATTTTACAAGCAAATATCAGTCTAAATTTTCACATAAGCAATGAAAAATCAACACCAGACATCCTCTGTCTGTGCTTTTAAACAAAATCTGCATTTCAGCTTTTTCCAGGATTATGCCATTACATTAAAAATTTGTCATTTTTAACATTAAAAATTAATCCAGCTGTAATACATGCACTTCAGATCAAAGTTGGCAAAGCAGACAAAGCACCTAACCAACCATTTTTGGACACTTACAAGCAACTATTTCAGTCCTTTGAAACTGCTTCTGAGGTGAGACATCCTTGGCTTTCAAAGGCTTTACTGCCTTTACTGCATGGACAATTATCACTTGTACCATTTATGCAACCTTTTTTCTTTTTATTTTGACTATGAGACAAAATGAAAATGTCATCTAATTAAATCTTACTTCAATCTATTTCCTATGATTATTCTCCCAGAAGGCTAATATCCAGAAATACAAAGGTAGTAACGTTGAATCTTTCTGTTTTCTAATGATATTCTATTGTAAAAGAAATAGATAATTTGACAGTAGCATTCATGAACTTGCAACAACAAAACCTAAACTAACTAAAAAAACTACATCTGATTATTAGTCTTCAACATGCTGTATAAACCCCCCACTGCTTTAACTTCACTGCTTCTTACAGAGAGATAATATAGCTCTTTGGTCACTTGTATGCAAGTTGCTCATCTGTTGATTATTTAGCACCTGATTTCAAGAACCTGTCCTGTTTTTAATTCAGCAAGCATTTTATTGATTTACACAATAAAATAACCACTCACTGCTTATATTCCACTTCTGCCTACATAAAAACATATTTTCTTCATCTGTACTTGCCAAAGTCACCACCCTTGCTCTTTTCTCCTTTTGTTTTCATTTTATCTACAAAAGAAACTGGGTTGCATTGCAGTACATATATGTAAGTTTAGATTTTGCCTTCAGGTCTATATTGGGCATGTAACATAGACCAAATATTAAAACACAAAGTACACAGTTTTAGTCCTTACACCCAGTCCAATGTGAGAAATGAGTGTCGGGCTACTCGCATTAATGTTATTTTTATGCTGTTTTGCTGAACCGACACTGAGCCACAAATCCTCTTTTACATAAAAAAAACCCCACACCATTTATATGAAGTTTCTGGGAAAACTTCTCATCCATGCAGATACAAAGTCATTCTAAGAGGAATGAGGTAGCAACCTTGAAGAACCTCCTTGCTCTATAACATATTGAGGTCATATGACCTCAAATTATCCTACTAGTGTACGGTCTTCATGTTGCTCATGGGGCAGTCCAGGGAGCAATTACTTGCTGGAGAACTGGTATTAAAAACACTCAGGAAAAACATAACTGGCCAGAAAAATCAAATCTTCCCATGAGACTCAGAACAGTTGCAGTGGCCCTGAAGCAAATTCTAGGAAAACGTATCTGTGTCACAAACTCTTACCAATCCATTTAAATCACATCATATGAAGCTGACATATATGTGATGACAATATTTATTCTTTTTACTTATGTCCCTCCCTAGCCAGAAAGCGTTTAACAGTTCACTTTTTGTAAAACAAATATTTCTATGAGATTTCAAGGAAAGTTTGACAATTTACCATTTTGGCAGATGAGCACCTTTTCCAAAGATTACCTTACTGAAATAGATCTCAGGTACTGTCTATGTTTCCTAGAAACCCCAGGAACAGAGTAAGCAGACAGAGAGGAAGTTTTCAAATGTATCTGCATTCAATCAGATTTGAAGAGATTTAGGACATCTAAATCAAATCCACTAACTCAAACTACCATCATAAGGAAACCTTAGACATTAAAAGAAAAGCTTATTAAGCGGAAGAGTTACAGTCATATTTAGTGTATTCAAAGTAATTAAGATGATATCAGACACTGCATGATACTTCCAACCAGGGTTTCTGACTACCTCCACACCGGAGCATTTATCGCTTTATAGTTCAACAGGACTGTTCTAATTACACTCTTAATATAAAATACTTACTTTTTTATTGATATAATATGGATCCAGGTCCTCCAGGGGCACAGATACCATCCCTGGAGGAACATCACCATAAATAAATGGCAGTGTCTTTCCTGCCTCTAAGTCAGGACTTGGCTTTGGGCGATCTTCCTCATGACCACCATCATCTTTATGCTCATCGTTGTCATGAGCCTTTTCATCAGCAATATGTTTTTCAATAGCTGCAAGAGATTCTTTGGTGAAATAGAAGAAGCTGTCAGATCCTGGTGGTACCAGCATTGCTTGTGCCATCTTTTCATTCCGTAATCCTTAAATGCTTTTAGGCTCTTGAACAAGAAGATCCTAGGAGAACATGAGGAGAAAAAAAAAAAAAGAAACAGGAAATAGAGGGCAACAGCAATGAAAATATCCAAATAAAAGCTTCTGGCACAGTCATCATTTGCCTCTTTTGTAATTCTAAAGCCCTGTAGCAAGAAGTATGAGAATTAATTGTCAGATATTTCATAGAAAATTAGGTACCATTAATGACATGGAGAACAGATACCAATTATGATGCAAGGAAAAAAAGCAAAAGGGGCACGGGGAGAAAGCTAAAATTTGCACAGTTTGTCAACTCTTTAAGACAAACCTAACAAGACAAAAGGAAAAACAAGTCCCGCTTTACCTAGCCTAAACATTAAGTTAAAACACACCTTACTGTGAAAAAGGAATGTGTTAACACAGCTATGCAGGGCTGCGTTTCAGGGAATAGGGTGGCTGGGGTCACACCACCGCAGTAGCTGTCTGCCACCCCTTCCTCCTTACGTTTTTCCCCTGCTCCAGCATGGGTCTTTCCCACAGGCTGCAGGGCTTCAAGGTAAGTCTGCTCCAGTATAAGCAACACATATGCTGCAGTTCCTTCTAGGAATATCCACCTGCTCTGGTGTGGTGTCCTCCACAGGGTGCCAAGCAGATACCTGCTCTGGTATACTCCTCCACGGGCTGCAGGGAAATACTTGCTGCACCATGGCCTGTCCCACAGGCTACTGAGGAATCTTTCCTCCAGTGCCTGGAGCCCCCTGGAGCCCCCTCCTTCTCTTCCTCCACTGACCTGGGTGTTCACAGGGCTGCTTCTCACACTTTTTTCCTCACGCTGACATGTGGCATTTTATTCTTGCTTTCTGGGTGTGTTTTCCCACAGGTGCCACCATCTTGGCTGAGGGGCTCAGCCATGCTCTAGGGTGGGTCGACTAGAGCTGTGCAGAAATGGCCGTGTCCAGCATCAGGCAGCTCCTGCCTCTCCTCACAGAGGCTGCGCCTGCAGCCCCCCTCAAAACAGGAGCCACAGACACCAAGTACAGAAACACTTTTAGGTCAATATGAGTTGAGGAAGATTTATTTTTTAACAATTTTCTAGCAGAAGCTAAATTGTCAGGAACATGCAACCTGATGTTACACAAACCATCTCCTCCTCAAAATCAGCCAGTCAAGGGTATGCACAGACTTCAAAACTCTGCTTTTTCAGCTGAGCTAAACCAGCTTCTCATTTCTTGGCAAATACTCTTTACCATGATAAAAGACATAAAAAAAGGCATCTTTGCACAGCCTAGTAAAGAGATGAGACAGAGTATTGGTGAATGAGAAGTGGATTATGAGCCAGCAGTGTGCTCTTGAGGCCAGACAGGCCAATAGGTGCATCAGGAAGAGTGTGACCAGCAGGGCAAGGGAGGTGATCCTCTCCCTCTACTCCACCTTGATAAGGCCACATCTTGAATACTGTGTCCAGTTCTGGGCTCCTCAGTACAAGAAAGACAAGGAGCTACTGGAAAGAGTCCAGCAGAGGCCACAAGGATGATCAGGGTCTGGAGCATCTCTCATGAGGAGAGATTGCAGGAGCTGAGTCTGTTTAGTCTAGAGAAGAGGTGACTGAGAAGGGATCTTGTTAATGCATTTAAATATCTCAAAGGGGGGCTTCAAGAGGATGGTGATAGACTCCTGAAGTGATACCCATAAACTAAAGCTCAAGAAGTTTCACCTCAACATGAGGAAAAACTTTCTGTTGAGGGTGGCAGAGCACTGGAACAGGCTGCCAGGGGGGTTGTGCAGTCTCCTTCTCTGCAGACATTCAAAACCATCAAACTAGATGCATTTCTGTGCAACCTGCTCTAGGTGACCCTGCCTCGGCAGGGGACTTAGACTAGATCATCTCCAGAGGTCTCTTCCAACCCTCACAATCATGGGATTCTGTTATATCCTATTAAACACAGAAATGTTTTTTCTACAGACCAGAAAGCCCAAGAAT